GTCATTAATTTATTTGTCCAAACAAATAAAATAATGTCATTGATTTGTCCAAATAAATAAAATACTAAGTCAACCGAAAGCACCTGGATCTGACCAACCCCGTCAATTCTAAAGTCAAGAAGGGCCCTTCTATGGAGCCTAGGCCCTCAGCTCAGATCCCTGCGTCCTTTGCAGGGACGTCCCCTGGGAGGTTTTCAGTGAATTTCCCTGCCAACAAGTCTTGGTCAGGACTTTCTGGACTGACCTAGCAGGTTTGCTAACTTCAGGTTTCTGCTGAAAGTCCTGGAGTTCATTCAGGGAGTTAGTTGTTCGGTCTGTTCACAGGAGGGGCCGGCTCTAAAAGCCGACCCCTCTGGCTCGTCCAACCCCCAAGGGCAAACGAAAGCTGACTGCATACCTGGTGTGTATACCTGAGGAAGACACTGCAGTTACTTTTATGTGCAAAGCCAGATCCCAAACCACCTGCTGCTTTAAACCAAGACGCAGAGCAGACTGGGAAAACCGTTAACCTCAGATCAATAGCTCATTACCCTTCCACATAGAACCTACAAGATCTAGAACGTATTAAAAGCTGCTCATGTAAAAGTACATACTAGTTGCTTAGGTTTATGCATCTCGTGAAGATGACGTGTTATCTCACTCGCTCCTCACCACAACCCCAGAGTGCAAGGTCTTTGTCTGAGGACTCCCAGCGCGTAAGCAGTACCCTTCCGTTTTCACGTTCAAGATCCGTAACTGTAGAGCATTTCCAGCTAAAGATTGTGTGAAATGAGGCTAGGTCCTGGAATCACCCTCTCCACCAAATCTGACCAAATGCATTAAAAATAATAAACAAGCAGCTGAACTGGGAGGTTTTGATGCTGATGCTGACATTGCTAAGCACCTGAGACAGGTGACTGACGTGTGCTGCAACATCTCCTGACACCAACCCCGCCCCAGGTGCATAACTGAAAGAAAAAACTTGAAACCACACATCCAAGAAAGATCATTCATGCCTTCTCATGGTGTAGAAGAATTAACAAATTGGGTGTGTGGACATTTAAGAAAAAAAAAAAAACCCTCAAGTGTAACAGCAGCAAAACTATGTGAGGTTTGGTGGAGGCAGAAAGGGATGCTGAGTGTGCCGTCTTCCAAGCACGGAGGTGGGTTGAACCCCCCAAGTGCGTTCCATCCCTGGTCGAGTGGTGTAGGCCTAGCTTTAGGTCCTCAAAGAGTGGAAGAACCGGCCCCCAGCAAGGACAGCTGGTCTTTGTCCTTCACTTAGTGTTACGAATCTCAGGTGATAAGAAAGTGGAAAGAAACAGTATACAGGCCTTGGTATAATTTAAGAAGGTGGTGTGTATAGAAACAAAATGGTCCTGGGTAGCTCAGAAAGAACGTCATGGAGAATTCACCCACACTATATCAGAACACACAAAAGATCTGCCCATGCCAGTTGTGGGGGGGAAAAAAAATCCATGTAACAACTAAATACAAATGCTGTAAGTGTAAAAGGGGAATATAAGAAAGACAAACATTTGGGCTGGCCGAGTGGCGCCATGGTTAAGAACTGGCTTGGGATGCCAGAGGACCCCGGTTCGGATCCCACATATGAGGGCCAGTGGCACTGCCCTCTACAGCTAAGATGATGAACAACAGCTCAACCTGGAGCTGGGCTGCCATGAGTCGCCGGCGACGGCGTAGGCTGCAGCCCCTGTGGCAGTGAGTTGCCATGGGCTACCGTGTGTAGCCAGCAGCCAGCGTGAGCGGCCCTCAAGCCGCCGTGAGCGGCCGTCCAGAAGCCGGCGACTGATCTGCCTCGCCCGGGAAGAGCGCAATGATGGTGCCAACTTGGGCCAGGGAAGCAACGTCCTCCACAACTAGACTGAAGAACAAAACGACAGCAACTTGTCTGCTCCCCTTCCCCCAATTCCCCAGCACTGTTCCCATCCCCCCAATTCCCCAATACAAATCTTATAAAAAAGAAAGACAAACATTTAATATGGAACGGCGACAGAATCGGTCACACCTGGAAGAAAAAGGTGACCCAATGAACAGAAGCAAATTTTCTGAGACTGCTTCAAGCTACGAAAGAATTTTCCAAAAATACATGTTAACTAAAATGAGAGACAGAATAAGATGAAAAGGGGGGTTTCGGCACGAAGAAAACAAATTAAGACCCAAACACCTCAGGTAAAGTAAGTCGATTAGCCACTACAAGGACTAGAAAGCACAAACAATGCCAGTTAAACAATGCTATGCCATGAATTGTTAAAAGGTGAAAAAATATGCCTTAGGCGCAATAAAATGAATAGCATTATGTATACACTCCTAAATGTTGTTAGTAAGAATGAGGAGATTGGCGTGAACTGTATCATCTTTGTACTCACGCACAGACTTCTCTATTCCAGAAATTCATTTCAGTGGTCCATGAACCGACTGGAGCCCCTTTATCTCCCATGTCACTTTCCAGGTATGGAGAGGACCTCAGGCAGGACCAGCAGCAACTCCTGGAAGGGATCTCAGAGCTGGACATCAAGACGGGAGGAATCCCCTCGCAGCTGCTGGTTCACGGGGCCCTGGCCTTCCCTCTGGGGTTAGATGCCAAGCTAGGCTGCTTCCTAGCCGCTGCCCGCTATGGCCGGGGCCGTGTTGTCCTGGCTGCCCACGAGGCCATGCTCTTTGCTCCCAAGATGGGGCCGTTTTTGCTCAATGCTGTGCGCTGGTTGGCTCAAGGCCAGACGGGCAAAGTGGGGGTGAACCCACACCTAAAATCCCTTTGTGCCCTACTGTCGGAGAGTGGCCTGGAATGCAGTCTGGCACCCCATCTGACCGATGGCTTGTCTGTGTACTGCTGTATGGCTTACAGTGACAAGGAAGCCAAGCAGCTGCACGAGTTCGTGGCCGAGGGAGGGGGCTTGCTGATCGGGGGCCAGGCCTGGTCGTGGGCCTCCCAGAACCCAGGCCGCTCAGCGTTGGCTAGTTTCCCTGGTAACATCATCCTCAATGGCTTTGGCCTCAGCATCCTCCCTAGGACCCTTGCCCAGGGCTCTTTCCCGGTCCCCACCCCTGATATGCGGAGCTACCACTTCCGCAAGGCGCTGTCTGAATTCGAGGCTGTCCTGAACCAGGGGGGCGGAAGCTTGGAAAAGAGCTGGCTGGCAAAACTAGGAGAGGATGGTGCTGCCTTCCTGCAGATCCCTGCGGAGGGGATCCCCGCTTACATATCCCTGCACCGGCTCCTGAGGAAGATGCTGCAGTCGTCAGGCCTCCCAGCCGTGAGCCGGGAAAACCCGGTGGCCAGTGACTCCTGTGAGGCCGCAGTGCTCTGCCTGGCCACGGAGCTGGCGCGCTCTGGGACCGACTGCTCCCAGCTGGCACAGGGGCCGGGAAACTGCGCCTGCCACTCCGAATCCCCCATCACTGTGGCGGTAGATGGAAACAATCCAGGTATGGGGTGAGGGGAGAGTGCCTGGCGCATCGTGGGAGCTGGGGAAGGTGGGTTAGTGGGCTTTGCAGGACAATGCAGGTGCTGAGGCTCAGACAGGCCAGCTCCATTCTCTAGCAGGTGCTTTCAGGAAGACAGTTGGGGTTCTGCTCAGGGTTTACGAGGGGCTGCACCTCCGGGAGGGGCCGTGAGGCTCCAGGTGGGGGAAGAACTCAAGCTTTCCTATGGCTTTTGTCAGGCAACGATGAGTGCTGGGTGAGCACTGGGCTGTACCTCCTAAACGGACAAAACGCAGAGGTCTCGCTGTCTGAAGCTGCCACCTGTGCCGGCCTGAAGGTAAGGCCAGAGCACCCACTGTCCACATCCCAAAGCCTCGGGCTGCTGCACTCTCATCCCGCTCATGGCAGTGCTCCCAGGAGCACAGGGAGAGAGTACTCTGCCCATTTTACAGATTTCACAGATGAAACAGCTAAACTTCCGGGGGCCTAAGGGAGCGATGACGATACCGGAGCTCTATGATCAGCTCCGGCGCTCAGCCCGAAGCCTGCAGATTTCCACGCATGGTGGTTTTTGCCTCCTGACAGGGATGTGGAGAGATACGGGGTGTGAGGCGAGGGACGGCCCTCTGCATATTCACAACCTCACCAGGTTTCCCCGTCGCACCCTGCCTTTCTGGTCACACCTGAAGGTTATACTTAACCCGATCACTCACAAACATAGGCCCTACACACGGAATTAAAATTCCTCCTGCCTCAACTCTGAGGGTCACGTCCTTCCACAGTTAGAGTCTTGCGTGTCAGCCTCGTTTCAGGAACTCGCTTACATTAAGCCTAAGAAAAGCAAGTCCAGGGCTCCAGGTATCACAGCACTCAGACCATGTGCCCAAGAGGAGAGCCCTAAGCAAAGGGGGACGAGTACTCAGCCTCCCCTCGGGCCAGGTCCCACTGCCTCCCGATGGGCCTCCGGTCTGTGCAGGAAGGGCAGGCAGCACCCCCCGGGTCATCCCCAGCGTGGGAGTCACCAGACTGCTTAGGGTCTGCCAGGAGAACCCCCATCAGTGTCAGCCTCAGGAGCTGTTCTAATCCCTGGAAAAACGATTCTACGTGCTGTTCCGTCCACACGACCTCTGCAGTGCTGCGGTCTCATAGGTGTCCATGCATAGCTCCCAGAAAGGGGAGGCTGGCATTTTTCTAATACGCGCTGTGTGTTTTTCCATACAGCACCATGCTCAGCCCCACATGCACCCCACAGGAACCTAGTTCCTCCAACACATGGCGGAATCGCCCCTCCAGGTACAGGTTGGCTGCCACACCGATGACCTGACCAAGGCCAGCAAGCTGTCTCGAGCCCCTGTAGTGACTCACCAGTGCTGTATGGACAGGACCAAACGGTCGGTATCCTGTCTCTGGGGTGGCCTGCTCTACGTCATCGTGCCCAAGGGCAGCACACTGGGCCCCATGTCCATCACCATCAAGAGGGCTGTGCCTGCCCCGTACTACAAGCTGGGTAAGCGCACTGAACGTTGGGGGAAGAGGGAACATGGAGGACACCATGGTGGTTAGGGCTGGTTGCTAAGGTGGAGGGAGAAGTGTTTGAGGTGAGAGTGGATGCCGGAGAAATGGAACACCCTGTGTCCCCAGAGACTTCAGGGCAGAACCAAAGGAAGGGCCTGGAGGCCTGTCCTTCGTTTCATAGCCTCCATGTTATCATGGAGCCCCACATGATAACAGCTCTTTATTTCAGTGTCCTCCTCCTGGAGTTCAAGTTGTGTTTTTCAGCTCAAGGGAAAGTTGGAGAAGTGGGTGACAGGGTCTGTGATATTTATTCCCAGGTAAGACATCCCTGGAGGAGTGGAAGAGGAGTGTCCAGGAAAGCCCAGCTCCCTGGGGAGAGCTAGCAACGGACAACATCATCTTGACGGTGCCAACCGCGAACCTGCAGGGTCTGGGGGACCCCGAGCCCGTGCTCCGGCTCTGGGACGAGATGATGCAGGCTATAGCTAGACTGGCAGCCCAGCCTTTCCCGTTCCTCCGTCCCGAGAGGATTGTTGCTGACGTGCAGATCTCAGCTGGTGGGTGCTGCAGGGAAGGGCCCTTATTCAGTGGACACCACTGATTTATTATTTTGCCGTTTGTTAATGTCCAATATGTGTAAGGCGTCATTTTACCAGTAAAGGTAAACAGGCATAAAAACCATAGACCTTGGTGGGATGCAAAGATGTTTACATATGAAGAGGTAAACCATTTCCCTCTACAAGGTGAGATTTCACAGGTTTGGTAGAACAATCTCAGGGAAAATGGTACCAGGAGTTGACAGATGACCATGAGGGTTGTTTCAAGGAGAGGCTAAACTAGAAATACTTCCTTCGAATGTAAGTAAGAGTAGTTGACAATGAAAAGAGGGCGCAAAGAGGTTTAGGATAAGTCTTAGGTGGTTTAGAGGAAAGAGAGCACCCAAAGAAAAATAAGGAAATCTGATTCTGACATGGAGAAAATTCCTCTGAGCCTCAGTTTTCTTATTTTTAAAAAAGGACACGATCCTTTCTGTTAAAAGAGTAAGAAGCCCGACAACAGCGATTTACACAGAAGAAGGGGTCACACCATTCTAGCCTGTAGAATCTCAGATTCAGACACAGGATGTAATGTCACAGAATAACACACATAGGAAACGCACACACAAACGAAGACCCGAACTCCAGTGAGAATAGCTGTGTAAAGTGTATTCTTATTTGCCAGACCAGAGTGACAAGGGGGCAGAGCCAGTGGGAGGCTGGGAGGCGGGTAAGGACTCCAGAAAAGCCATCGGCTTTCCAGTCAGCACAGGGACTGTGGAATTACTGGGGGGTAGCTATGATGAGGAGGAAAAGCTACACAATGAAGAGGAATGAAGGGAGATGGGTTTGCGTGCCCCCACCCCCATGCCTCATGTCTTCCTTTTGGCTTCCCAGGCTGGATGCACTCAGGGTACCCCATCATGTGCCACCTGGAGTCCGTGCAGGAGCTCATCAATGAGATCAGCATGAGAAGCAGTGGATTGTGGGGACCCATCCACGAGCTGGGTCATAACCAGCAGCGGCACGGGTGGGAATTCCCCCCACACACCACTGAAGCCACGTGCAACCTGTGGTCCGTCTATGTGCATGAGACAGTCCTGGGCATCCCCAGGGCTCAGGCCCACCCTGCTCTGAGCCCGCCAAAACGAGAGCAGAGAATCAAAGAGCACCTAGAGAAGGGAGCCCCCCTGTGTAACTGGAACATGTGGACAGCTCTGGAAACATATCTGCAGGTACTGAGCTGAAATTCGGGGAGGTGGGGGCCACGAGACCCATCCATCATATAGCATCCTGGATCCCAGGAGTTCTCCAAGTCCTTCACCACCCCCACCAGCCTGGGCCCCTGGTGGATACGGGAGACTAGGCCGCATGGTGGTGCTTCTCAGGTTATACATCACTAAGATGAAAAGAATGGTATCTGTCCCACTTGCTTCCTGTGATTTTGTCATGCTAAGTAAGAGGAAATGAAACGTGTTATGAAAAGAAAATAGGTGGAGAAAAATATTGCTTATCGGTAGGTATATGGGTCAAGAGAAGAAGTTATGAGTTAGACATTCCTGAGACTGAATCACAGCTCTTACACTCACTGGTTTTGTCCTTGGTCCCCTAAGAAGCGCTCCAGAAATGGCCCTTGCTTTGGTTTGCTTTGTCTTTCCTCATCTCATTTTTATGGGTCAAGGGCGTGTTCCGTCCCTTCAGAATTAACAGTGATGTGTGTAGGGGACAACTGCATTACAAGAAGGTAAGAGGTCAACCTGTCAATGATATTCTCGGACGCCTATCACCCCACTTGAACCACAAATGTTTTTAGAATGAATAACCAACCAACCAACCCAGTGGGAGGAAGCCCTGAACCAGGTCGACTGCCTGTGAAATAAACCCAAGTCCCTGTCACCTCCCCAATCATACTTCGAACTTTCACTGTTTGGAGTGGTGGAAGCTGTTCTCCATATCAGACCTCCTAAGCTGTGCACCTCAACCGTATAGATAGGAGCTGGGTGGCCCGCTTTTCCCAGGGACACATACTAAGTTAAGGAGCTTAAGCAGCCTGTCCAAAATCGCATGTCAAGGTTGACCCGGAACCTAAAATCCGGGGTTAACGACGAGCCCCAGGCTTTTGCACTGTGACACCCTCTCTTTGATTGTTTTTCCTTTCACTCATTTTCTAGAGAATGAATATCAATGACATAACTTTTGCATTGCATCAATTCTGTCTTCTTATATAGCCAGTCGGAAGGAAATACACCTTAGATGGTAGGTTGCCACAGAAGTGGAAGTGACAGCCCTAATTCCGCCCTCCCCCACCTACCCACTCACCCGGGAGCCCTGACTATCATTTTGCAAAAGCTATGGAGACACCTATCATCTTGGAGTCTGAGCCTCGGCCACAGGACGGGCAGGCACCTGCTTCCTCTACCTGGGAGAGGTCTGCTCCCCCTTGCACCTCCCACTAATAGTCCCACCTCACAGCTCAGGTCCTCATTCCTCTTCCTTGTCAATTCCAGGAGACTCCTCAGTTGTTCCAGCATCTTGCCTCGACTCCTACAACCCATCTCCCATTCGACTTCCAAAAGAACCTTAATATTCAGCATTTAACACCCTCAAAGTGCTCTCCTTTCCATACAGGATGAAGCCAAGGCTGCTTAGCACAGGGGAGAAGGCCCTTTGTCATCAGACTCCCACCAGCACCCCCGGCTCCATCTCCCAGCTCCCACTCCCCCATAATTACCCTCCTAGAGACTAAGCTGCTTCCCTCTATGAGCACATCCTGCGTTCCAGGCTTCTTTGCCTCCCCATCTTTCCTCCTGCGGCTGATACATGCTTAACCATCTTGTCTATTACCTATTAAGTCACCTGTCAAAACTCAGCTCTATTGCCCTCTTCTAACATCATCCCAAATAGGACTAGGTGAGGGATTCTCATGTCACTCAGGCTCAAACCTGTCTGATACCGAGGAAAACACTTAGGACCTAAGGATATAATTTTTTCAATTAAAGATAATATCAATAAAATGTCATTTATTGAGTATTTACCTTTCCTCAGACATTAGGTTCCCAGGAAGTCCCCTACTAGAGTCAGGGGGTATAGTTTTTGTGGCCAAGAAGTGGAATAAGCCAATATGACTGTATTGATGTGCAGGGGTCGGGTGGGAGACAGGCAAATAATAAGAGTGAAGCTAATGAGTGATTAAGGGACAAAAATCACCGTAAATGAAATAGTCTTTTTTTTTTTTTTTTTTTAGCTGAGCCATCCTGCTACCTGTTGGCAGCTCAGCGGCTGCTCAGCTCAGGCCGGGTATGAAACCGCTGTTGCTCAGAGCTCAAACTCTTGAGCGAGCTCTTAACCAACTGAGCCACTCAGCCAGCCCCTGAAATAGTCTTAACATGCATGTTGTAGTGACTTTTGCAATCCTGACACCTCATTCTGCCCCTTCTTTCTCTTCCCAGCTCCAGGAGGCCTTTGGGTGGGAGCCATTCACCCAGCTCTTTGCTGAGTACCAGACGCTCTCTGGCATCCCCAAAGACAACGCTGGCAAGATGAATCTGTGGGTGAAGAAGTTCTCCGAAAAAGTGCAGAAGAATCTAGTTCCTTTCTTTGAGGCCTGGGGCTGGCCTGTCCAGAAGGAAGTGGCTGATAGCCTGGCCTATCTGCCTCAGTGGCAGGAAAACCCCATACAGGTTCATGTCCACACGAAGTAAAGCTGTGCAGAGTCGATGGGAGGAAAGCAGGGCCCCTCGCCCGCTGTACCACCCGTGTGTCTGGCCCCGTGTACCTTGAGCCTGAATCCTATTTCCTACCCTACCGTCAGGTCCTTAAGACAAAATGATTAAGTCCTTAAGACAAAATGAAACCAACTTTCTCTGGAAAATGCCCGGTGTTTCTTTGTATTGTCACTTGGCCCATGCTATAGCTCTCACCAAGAGACTTGCTTTATCATCCTCATCAGTTAGTAGGAGATTTTCCGTCTTGGCATATTTGAGGTCCTGCAGGACTCTTGGCTTCTAGCTTTGACCAACGGTTCTAAAGACCATGGGTCATGGATTACCATAATAATCTGACGTCACTCCCTCGCCCCTGCCAGCCCTGAACAAGGCTCTTCATGTCTTACGTTCTGAGAAGTTTTCTAATAGCAAGACAGGCAGGCTGGTACAGTGGAGAGAACCCTGAATGAGCTCTGGTTCTATGGAAAGCCACTTAACGCCTCCGTGCTCCTGCATTCTTGTCCATGACGTGGGGGTAAAAATCTGTGGCTTGATAATGGTGAAGGTGTTGGTACACACAACCCGTGAGGGTACTCTTGGTCCATGCCTAACAAGACTATAATACGGGGAAAGACCGGAATGGATTACCAGCTGCTGTACCTGTTTGCTGTCTTTAAAAGACCTTTGTTATTTATCCCTATTCAGGAGAATACTTTCATTATTCCAGAGAGAAACTTTAGGGTGATTACAACCATTCTTTTATTTTTATCAACTGAATATAGGCTACCTGAGTGAGAGTAAATTCCCCATTAATACCCTTTTCCTCCTTTTCCAAGAACTAAGGTCAGAGAACACCACAAGGTATTTTCAAGAGTTTCTTCTGTACTTTTGGTGGAAAAAAAAAATTACCTAATCAAATTTTCAGTTACTGAAATTTCTTGGGCCGTATTTCTACTATATCTCTATGACGATTCCTTTCCTCTATTAATTACCATTTCCAACCAAAGTTTACTCTAATAAAGATACTTTTACTTTGAATTAACATTCTCAGATTTTGTCATGTCATTAGGCTCTGGAACAAAGGTTCATCCCACAATAAGAATCATGCCAAATTAAGAGCAAAACATAAACATAATAATTAAAATCCTCTCATATGGCTTTCCAACTCCAGAACAAGACAGCCAGGGTACCTATAGATAGCAACTTCATATGAGCACTTCTGATCTGTTAGTCTCCATTTATGTAGAACAGCCTACTATTAGCCTATTTCAAATTTTTGTCTCACTCATTGAACCTCGCCCATAGTTTCCTATGATAAGCAGCTATTTCTTCAGCCCCTAGGCTATCTCAGTGTACTGTCTTAAGATTCTTCAGCCCCCTACCTATCTTAACCAGGAACTTTTAAACAGAAACCTGAGATTTCTGAGTCCTAAGCTGTATCTCTGATGTGTTTATTTGCCCAAGATCAAAAGCCCTCCCCAACCATGTCTTGAGCTGGATGTATCTAGGGTGCCAACAAGTAGTCAGCCAAGGTGTTAGATGTGGGCAAGGTTTCGGAAGAAGGGCAGCTACTTTTCAGCCGATGCTGTTTCCTCGCAGGCGTGTCATGTCTTGCCCCCCTTCTGAGAATACCCTCTTCCATGCTCTTGTCCCGTCACCAAGGTTGTGTTACCATGCGGACAAACCTTCCATTTTTCTTTTACAAGCTGGAGTGCTTCCCCATTGTGACAGGAAGGTACTTGGGTGCCCATACTCGACTTACAGGAGACCCAACATTTCATACACATAACTCTGTACTGATTCACCTTTTGTTTAGGAAAGTCAAAAAAAAAAGTCATAAATAGTATCAATGTCATCTCTATAAATCCCCAAAGATGATGAAAGGAGAGAGCACTGTTTTAAAATGTTAAGCATAGATTGGGAAATAATGGGGTTGAAGGAAAAAAATTAGAATTCGAAGTGCAAACTCCCTGTCAGGCCAAAGACCCAGAGAACAAAGTTGAGTGGGCGACACCACAGACAGATGGAGAGCAAGAACTTCCCACCGTGGAGACCAACCAGGAGCCTCATCTGAGGGTCCCGTCTCCTGTTTCCCACTTCCTATGTCATACAGCCTCACCTCAAGGGGACAGCAGTCAAAGCCAGCCTAGATGGGATAGTCTAATGAGCCATTTCCATCTTAGAATTCAGTATAAAGGACCCTACTTTTAAAAAACACATTTTGCTAGTCTTCCAACAATTTTATGAAAGCTACTCGAATTTATTATTTCATGAAGAATAATCTGAAGAAAGCCAGTCCTTTTTCCTAAGGATTACAGGTAGAAGGGAGAATGGAACAAACCAAAAAAGCCGCTCTACCTCTGCTGCCTTCTTGTTCCTAGTCCCTCAATAGCCTGAAGACAACTCGCTGGCAGTGAAATAACAAAACATGGGGGATACTTGGAAAGTGAGATTCAGCACCATTGGCCTAAGAAAAATCAAGCCATGTAAGGACAATGATGAAAAATAAATTTCAGCACTTAGGCATAGCAGTCAGTGCTTTCCTGGATCTGCAGAGACTTGAACCAGGGTGCTGTGTGATTGGATGAGATAAATATCATGTGATCGCATGGACACTGGGACCACAAATGACACCCTCTTTAATATAACCACACAGTCTGCTCTCAGTCATGTTGTTTTTATTTATCTTGATAAGCCATAGTTTGAATATAACTCAGGTAGTTGAATTATATAGCCATTGGGGACCATTCAGGATTGAATTAGGAAATAATATATGGGAAAAGTCAGTGGACTATTATAACAAACAGACACAAGCAGGAACTCGTAGTTACAACAAATATTGTGTATTTGTATAATCCCATTCAAAGCAAAGAACCTAAACATCTATATTGCAGAGTACATTTGTTCCCAAGGCTGTGAGCATGGGTCTGGTGAATCACAAATAAACTGTTGTTTGCCAAGAACTGCTATAAGTGCTTTTTATTTATGTGTTCACAACAGTCACACAGAATGCTATTCCTGTCCCCATTTTGCAGAGAAGGGAGCAGAGATACAGAGCTCGCAAGTGGTCGAGCCACACTTCGAGCCCTGGGCGTTGGACTCCAGTGCCCACACTTTTCACCAACTTACTCTATCATGTAGTCATTAGTTCTGCAACTCTACATGCATGAAATTATGTGCATGGCTGCTGAATCACAAAATGACCAGATCCAAACTGCTAAAAATTGAACCAACCAGTAGTGACTTCTAGTTATTAAAAAAAGCAATTACTTAGTGATAAGGGTCATTCATCTAAGACATACATCCCTCAATACCAAGAACTTGCCCTACCATAGTCTAGAGGATGTTAAAGGTCCCATGCTTCACATAACAGCTGGGCGGAGTCCTAGAAGAAGCTAATCTTAAACACAGGGCTTGTATCCAAGGGTGCTTCGCTCATTCTTAAGGATACCCCACCTTCCAGCCTCATGTCTGAGAGCATTAAACAAGGGACCACATACATTCTCACAGGTTCTTAGATCCAATACCTGAAATACCCAATTCCTAGCAAATCAGGTAAGTTTCCAAAGAAATAACCCTAGGGGAGTAGGAGTGGCTACTTTTAAGTTTTAAAGAAGATAAAAAGGACCATACATGTGTCTTCTCCCCGGAGCACAAATACAGCCATTGACTTGTTAGAACACTGGGCATTTAATTTCAAAAAACTTAAAGCATTTGTGGTCGGTCCTACTAAAGGGAACCACCAAAACTCCTACTTCTGACACATATTGTAAAAACGAACTAAGAAGCACTACTCAGGGAATTAAATAAAGTACAGTCATGTATCTCACGTAATGACATTGCAGTCAATGACACACCACATATATGACAGTGGTTCCATAAGACTATAATCTCATTAAAATCTTTTATACCATATTTTTACTGTACCTTTTCTATATTTAGATATGTTTAGATTTGCCAATACTTACCATTGTGTGATAATTGCCTACAGTATTCAGCACGGTAACATGCCATACAGGTTTGTAGCCCAGGACCAATAGGCTGTGCCACACAGCCTAGGGTGGTGTAGGTGCACTCTGTGATGTGCAGACAATGACAGTCGCCTAATGACACACACATTTCTCAGAACATATTCCCTTGGTCAAGTGGCACATGGCTGTCATTTCTATCTTGAATGAATCTTAGACTGCAGATTCTATGGGTCAACCGCTGTCGCTCTTTGTCTCCCTCTGGTGGCCACTTAGAAACCTTACAGCTTATGACTATCAACCATTTTCGAAGTGATGGAGGAAGCATGATTTTTTTTTTTTTCTGAGATCATGGTTTCTACGAGCCATTTAAGGCAGGAGCTGCCTTGTAATAGCATCCTCTCACACAAAGAGAGCCTGATGGACAACAAAACCCACACAAAGGAAAACGACAAGTCAAAGATGAAGATCTGGATCTCTAAGAATATTGCTCTAGAATCTTGATCTAGTAGTGCTTCCAGCTCCAGGTCAACTCCTAGACGTTTTTGTGTTTCTTGAATCAATAAATCGCTTCCTGTTCTTCTACCAGTATGAGTGGAGTTTCCTTCACCTCATCATAAATTAAAACTAAAACAGTTCCCCTTCCTCAAGTCCTCTCCAGCTTGCTGGTGGGGCGAGAGGACCCATCTTTCCCACAGTGGATTTGCCCGGGAAGTGAGTGGGCCCCAGAGCACCATGGGTCATGACAGCGCTAACACAAGCCAGTTTTCCTGGGTTAGTAAAGCTAGCCGATGGGCCCCAAGGCCCCAGCGTCTAGAATTCCATGATTCTGAAACCATACTCTTGTTTTTAAAGGCACCTTTGGATAGAAAGGCTAAACAGAGAATTTGTTCTTTTTCCAGCTTTGGGAAGACAGGAGTCGTCTGGTGGGAAAGGCTGACCAAGGGATGGGTGTCTCATCTTTTAACTCTATTTAAAAATCTATGTGTGCTGTCTACCTGCAGTCATCCCAGCCACGTTTCATTTAATACATCTTGTCACATTTGCAGTGAATGCTTGTTTAACCTTCTCTTCCCTCACTAGGCTGTACATCTCAGGAAAGCAGGGCTGATGTGTGCATTTCTCAGAGCTTTACCTCCAATACACGACGCAGTGCCTGGCACATCAAAAGTTTTCTGTAAGTATTTTGGACTCAATAAAAGCATGTAAGACTGATTAAGGGTCCCCAACTCCTGTACCCATGGAATATCCTGTAGAGGCCTATGGAGTTTACTGAAATGCAAGGGAATTCTCCCATTAATCTAGAAGGAAGTTATAATATGACTTGACTCTTTCCTCCATTTTTTTCTACCTTGTAACTGCTACATACATGTTGGTCATATCGGTGGTCAGACTGGAAGAGAGGGAACTTTCCTTTGGTTTCCTCCCTTTTATATATTCAAGATTCAGTACTTATGAGAATGTTTTCAGCAAAAATTTTTGTGGGGGATGATCATGGAAACTTTCAAGGGAAATAATCAGTTTTTAATTAAATTCCTTAGGCCTCGATATTTTACAGTCTGTCTTCACTTCTTCCCACACCTGTTTTTTTTCTCTCCTTACTTGCGCTTCAGCCAACATTAATTTTGGAGAGGCTTTTCTTTCTGAATGATCACTGCCCACAGTCCTCCTACATGTCATTAAATTCTGGACCAAGGGTAATGCCCCTAAGCCAGGAGGGTCCCCCAGATTTCTTTGCCACCAACCAGAAAAACTCGAGCCTTTCCTGTCTGTCCTGAAGATGGCATACTAAGCATAGGCTCTAGCCTCTCCAACCCCTGGCCCTAAATTTTACTAGAAAGACAAGACCTTTTCTAAAACTCTAACACAGCATTGAAAAAACAAAAGGCCAGCTCCTCCTAAAATATCTGGGGAGAGGGTATCACGTGGTATAAGAAAACCAAGAACGGGGCCAGTGTGAAGTGCTTTACAGAGCAGGAGTGGCCCCCGGGAATTTTCCAGGTCCAGAGGAAATGGATTAGGAGAACAGATAAATCTCAAGAAT